GTGAAGTCCAAAAAGGTGCATGTTTAATGCAGTTGGTTCGGTTAGAGTCCGGTCTGTATTCACACCAGAAGAGAACTGAAGTGAACCGCACCAGAGGTCATTTGGAAGCGGACCGAGACCACCTCAAAAAGCAGGTCTTATATTTATTATTATTATTTTGTACCGGTGAACTTGCCAACCTTTTTCTTAAAAATAAATGTGATGTTGAACTCACTTTTTTGACCACAATTTTGTGTGTACTGTTTTGTTTTTGTTTTTACTGATGTGGGGTGCGGCTTATATGTTGATGTTCGCGCGTTTTTGGGGGGTGCGGCTTATATTCGGGTGCGGCTTATAGTCCGAAAAATACGGTAATGATTTTTTGCTGTGACTTCCACATTTATCACAGATTTTAATCGCACGATCTCCTCTGTCGGACCAGAGCGGAGCGGAGCTGAGATGCATGTAGTATAAATGTGGGGTGAGGGGGCGCTGTTTTCATACGAAGGATTTTCATTGTTTTGACTGGAGACCGTTTACTCCCTCCACTGCTGAAAATAACCACAAAAACTCAATGAAAACTTTAGTTTATCTCTATTCAATTTTAAAATTAGAAAGCACAAATCCACACATTGAAAAAATTAGTAAAACCCCTAAAGTGCAAACGAGGTCTGCAATTAGTGCTTTTGCACTTTTTCTAATGCCAGCCTCTGCTAATAAAACATCCTGACTCTGTTTAAATGATCAGATTGTAGAATAAAAGACTGGATCTACAACTCAATTAACTCAACTAATTTTCCTTCAGACACATTTTATTTTACCGTTTACAATTTAGATTGTATATTTTAAAAAGTATAATTTAGCTGTTTATTTTCTTATTTCCGTCATGTTATCAGCAGACAAATCCTACCTTGCTGTATGTGACCACCTGCTACCTTAGACCTTTTTCTTAAAAGAAAAAGCAAATTAAATAATTTGCCATGATTTTCTCCTTCCTGAAGTAATGAACTTTTTTTAAATTCATTCTATAGTGTAAACTAAAAAAGTAATTAAGAAGATTTTTCCTTAGGCTCAAGCCATATTTAATAAATTGTAAGATTAAATAAAATTATTTTTCCTGAATAAAACTTTGAGGTAAAATTTAACATTTAAAACAACAACATTTATGCAACAGTTAGGACGTTTTGAATTTCAAGTTATTTGACAAGCTATTGTTTTTTTTTTTTTTAAATAAATGTCCCAGCACTGGGCAGAACTATGACTTCTTTACAAATGTTTCGGTTTGATTGTGTGTCTGCTACAGGCCTCACATGTCAGCTGAAAGCTGCTCTAACAGCTCATTTATGACTTCAGAAGTTTGTGTTTTCTGACCACTGTAATGAAATTATTCTAACAGGATTTTTTTCTCAGAGTTTTGAACCCCTAAATGTTTTTTAGTCAATAGCAAAGTAAAACATTTTACCTCAAAACGGCGTCCCTCAACAAAGGGGAAGGGTCCTTCACGTTCCTCTGGGCCCCAGTAACCTCCAAGGTGTGAGTTTCTGACGATGGTTTGTTCAAGAAACCGAGGGTTGAGGTGAAAGACGATGTCTGAACCTTTGATGAACTCAACTTTAAACCTAAAATAAATAGATAAATAAATAAATTATATATATAATATTGTCACATGTTGAAGTGTCCCTGAAGCCCTCAGTATCTCTGATGTGCACCATCAGTGTATGAACATGATCAGTCTCTACAGGGATGAATTCAGATTAGCCCAGATGTAGTGGAGTGCTGTGTGTGTTTCTACTACAGTGAGGACCATTTGCGGCAGAGTTACTATCAAAGTGAGGTCTTTCATGTAAAGTGAGGATCTCTTCAATGTCCTCACTTTATATTATATTCAGCTCTATTCCACTCTAACAGTTAGGTTTAGATGTTCGGTGTGAATTAGGTTTAGGTTCAGGTTAGGATTAGGATTAGACCAATAATGGTTAGTTTCAGGGAAAATGTCTGGGTTAGGCATAAATAGTGGAGACCGGGGAC